ATGAGTTTGAGCTCCGCATCGGGCTCTGTGCTGACAGCTCAAAGCCTGGAGTCTGCTCCGGATTCTGTGTCTCCCTCTCTCTCTCTGCCCCTCCCCCGCTCACGCTCTGTCTCTTTCTGTCTCTCAAATATAAATGTTTAAAAAAGTGTTTAAGGGGCGCCCGGGTGGCTTGGTTAAGCGTCCGACTTTCGCTCAGGTCATGATCTCGCGGTTCGTGGGTTCGAGCCCCGCGTCGGGCTCTGCGCTGACTGCCAGCTCGGAGCCTGGAGCCTGTTTCAGTCTGTGACTCCCTCTCTCTGACCCTCCCCTGCTCACGCTGTGTGTGTGTCTCTCTCTCTCTCCTAGAAATAAATAAAAAACATTAAAAAAAATTAAAAAAAAAGTTTTTAAATAAAATTTTAAAAAAAAAAGATTTATAGAGGGGCGCCTGGGTGGCTCGGTCATTTGAGCGTCCGACTTCAGCTCAGGTCGCGATCTCATAGCTCGTAGGTTCCAGCCCAGCATCAGGCTCTGTGCTGAGAGTTCAGAGCCTAGAGCCTACTTTAGATTTTGTGCCTCCCTCTCTCTGCCCCACCGCTGCTCACGCTCTGTTTCTGTCTCTCTCAAAAATAACTAAACATTTAAAAAATTTTTTAATTAAAAAAATATTTATAGAAATAAAATACACGGCACCCAATAAAAGTCACAATGTCTGACATCCAGGAAAAAATTATCAGATAGGCAAGGAAGGAAGAAAATACAACCCATGATGAGAAGACAAAGCCATCAATTGAAACAGATGTTAGAACTAGACACTGTAATAGTTATGATAACTGTATTCCATGTTTTGTCTATGTTTTGATTTTAATGATTTTATCTGAGTATAGTTTACCCAAAACATTACATTAGTTTCAGGTATACAACATAGTGATTCGACAAGTCTATACATTATGCTGTGCTCACCACAAGTGTCACTACCATCTGTCACCATTCAACCCTATTACAAGGTCTTTGAATATATTCCCTATAATGTGCCTTTTATTTTCATGACTCATTCATTCCATAACCTGAAGCCTGTATCTCCCACTCTCCTTCACTCATTTTGCATATCTCCCACGCCCTTTACCTTGGCAACCATCAGTTTGTTATCCATACTTATAGGTCTCATTCTGCTTTTTGTTTGTTTATTCATTTGTTTTGTTTTTCTATTCCATATATGAGTGAAATCATATGGTATTTGTCTTTCTCAGTCCAACTTACTTCACTTAGCATTGAACCCTTGAGGTCCATCCACGTTGTCACAAATGGCAAGATCTCAACCTTTTTATGACTGTGTAATATTCCATCGTGTGTGTGTGTGTGTGTGTGTGTGTGTGTGTGTGTATACCACATCTTCATCCATTCATCTATCAATGGACACTTAGGTTGCTTCTATAGCTTGGTTATTGCAAATAATACAATAAAAATATTGATATATATGAATTTTTGAATTAGTGTTATATTCCATATGTTCAAAAGCTAGAGAAAAGGCTAAATATGTTAGGTAGAGATATGGATGATAAACAATGACCCAAACTGAACTACTAGAGATGAAAACAATAATATCTGTGATGTAAAATACACTAGAGAGATTAATGGAAGATTAGACATTATAGAAGAAATGGTTAGTGAACTCCAAGACATATCATTAGAAATAAGTGAAACACAGAGGGTAAAAATGGCGAAAACATGAACAGCACATCAGTGAGCTGATAACAACTTCAAGCAGCCTAATATATATGTAATTGGAATATGCATAAGAAAAGAAGGCAGCATAAAAAAATACTTGAAGAAATGACAGCTGAAAAATTTCCAGATTTGCAGAAGTCAATTGTTAATATCTAAAACTGAAAAAAAAATAGCAATATAACAATGTTATTTAGAAACGTAAAGGTAATGCCAATAGAAATACCCAATGGAGGGGCGCTTAGGTGGCTCAGTTGATTAAGCGTCTGACTCTTGGTTTTGGCTCAGGTCATGATCTCATGGTACATGAGATCAAGCCCCACATGGAGCTCTGAGCTAACAGCCCCGAGGCTGCTTGGGATTCTCTCTCTCCCTCACTCTCTGCTTCTCCCCTGCTTGCTCTCTCTCTCTCAAAATAAATAAACTTAAAAAAAAAAAAAAACCTAATAGAGTTGAAATTGCCGGCTTTGTTAGAAAAGTGTAGACTATGGCACTGGACTCTATCCCTTCCTAGTTGGGTGGTTTTAGGCAAGTCACATAACCTCTCTGAGCCTCATTCTCTCACTTTTTTTTTTAATGTTTTTTTATTTATTTCTAGGAGAGAGAGAGAGAGACAGCGTGAGCAGGGGAGGGTCAGAGAGAGAGGGAGTCACAGACTGAAACAGGCTTCAGGCTCTGAGCTGGCAGTCAGCACAGAGCCTGACGCGGGGCTTGAACCCACAAACCGCGAGATCATGACCTGAGATGAAGTCGGACACTTAAGCGACTAAGCCACCCAGGCGCCCCTCATTCTCTCACTTCTAAAATGGGCATAATAATAGTGTTTATCTAATGAAGGTTTTATAAGGATTAGATGAATGAATACTTACAAGGCCTTAGAATAATGCCCAACACAAAGTAAATGCTCGATATTGTTATTATTGGAGAGCAGAAATCGGGAGTGGGAAGAAGATTGTTATTTTTTGCGATATGAATATTAGTAACATTTGACTTTTTAACTACGTGCAAGTATTACTTCAATATAAGTAACTTTTTTTTTTTTTAAATATAAGTAACTTTTAAATGTTTAAGAAGAGGGACGCCTGAGTGGCTCAGTTGGTTAAGCGTCCGACTTAGGCTCAGGTCATGATGTTGTGGTTTGGGAGTTTGAGCTCTGTGTCAGGCTCTGTGCTGACAGCTCAGAGCCAGGAGCCTACTTTGGACTGTGTCTCCCTCTCTGCCCCTTCCCTGCTTGCACTCTGTCTCTCTCTCTTAAAAATAAATAAACGTTAAAAAAATAAATGAATACAAACTGAATACATAAATAAATGTTTAAGAAGAGTAAATCAGAGGTGAGGAAATGGAAAGATCTTCAAGAAGTTTTCCATAAAGGGGGCGCCTGGGTGGCTCAGTCGGTTGAGTGTCCAACCTCGGCTCAGGTCATGATGCACAGTTTGTGAGTTTGAGCCCCACATCAGGCTCATTGTTATCAATGCAGGGCCCACTTCATATCTTCTGTCCTTCTCTCTCTCTGCACCCCCCCCCGGCTTGTGAACCTGCTGTCTTTCTCTTTCTCTTTCTCTCCCCCCATCTCTCAAAAGTAACATTAAAAAAAGAATTTTCCATGAGGGAAAGAGAGGGATAGGGCAACAGCTAGAGTAGGTAGGAGGCAGAGGAAAGTTGTGGGTATTTTATTTTTTAAAAGGAGAGACATGAGTGGGTTTTTAAAAGTGCATGTGAAGTCAACTAGAGAAAGGGAGAAACTGAACCTATGGTAAAAAGGAATCATGTGACACAAAGCACATCTCTTCTATTATAATCAAAAGGGAGTGGGGACTCATGGGTGTGGATGTAGGTATGCCCAGCAGCTTGGTTTGAGAAGCTGAGGAATTTGTCATTTCCTACCTACCACTCTCCCTATAAAATAGGATGTAAAGTCATCTCCTGAGCACGAGCAGGAAGGTGGTGGGGTTGGAACTTTGAGTTGAACACAGAAAATGTGAAATGGCCATTATGGAGAGAAGGCAGAAAGAAAGCTGAGCAAAGCAACACAGAAGGATTTTTAGGTCGGTACCGAGGGCCCAGGGGAGATTAGAAGCCATAAATATGCGATGCACTAGTACCAACCTCTTTGGTTATGTGAGTTTCCTCCAGCAGGGTTCTGCAACTCTAACATAGGCATGGCAAAGGTGGGAAGAGCTGGGCTGCTTCACGTTGGGGGTCTGATCAGTTTGGTGGGATAAACAGACAGTGGCATAAGGGAACTGGGCACACAAAAAAAGAGAGTGAATAGCTGAAATGAGAAATCACAGACCCTAAATAGGCCGAAGAAAGAAGTGAAGACAATAGGTAGCTGGTAGGTAGCAGTCGGGCCTTAGAAGCCCCGATGAAGTTGAAGAATGGATGTACTGGAAGAAAAACAAACAACGGTAAGTACAGAGGTTGTAGTTAGAAGGTGGGATGTTTTAGTTTATTCTGAGTGATGATGAGGTTCAGTATGTGAGCCATGGAAGTGGGTGGATGAAGGGGAGCAGAGGTGAGGGTCACTGGAGGAGGGGATAGCAAGGAGCCAGGAGATTAGATTGCTAGAGTATTAGATGTGGTCAGCCATGTGCATGTCGCCAATGTCACCCAGAACGATTGCAGAAGCAACAGAAAGGAATACTGTGAATCCGGAGCCAAAGTCTTCAGTAAATGAGAGATAGAAGGAGGTCAGACTTGCCTAATGAGCCCCCGTAGCCCCTTGAAGCCTCGGTGACTCTGAGCAATGTTTCACTTTCGCCTTCAGATTCTTTGCAAATGTTGTATAGACGGCCCTCTGAGGATTCATGAGTCCTCTGAAATCTTATACAAAATCCTATGTGTATATATGTAATATGCATTTTTTCCTCAGGAAGAGCGCTCCTGACAGTCATCACTCGGTCAAAGGGGCGACTGCTTAAAATAAAAGCCTAAGGATTATTGCTCTAAAGATCTGTGTGATGGATAACTAAACGAAAACAATGAGAACTGCACAAAGATTTAGGAAGAGCACATATCTGTATGGCCAAAAGTTTCTCTGGCTCTATGCCTAACATCAACATAGAAAGCTCCAGTACGGAGGGGTCATGACTGGCTGGGCGCTAGAACAGGTGAGCTACTCAGACAGAGAGAGAGAGGCAGAAATCCACAGGGCAATGAACCACTGAGGTTCCATAACTCTCTGGTGAGATTGTCAGGTGGCGGCTGCTACATACATCCATGCCTGAACCGAATTAAGAGACTTCAAGCTGCCCCCTTTTCAAAAGAGCAGGCACGTAGATGGAGAAGGCACTCACCTCTCAGCGATATTTTTTGCAGACTGGAGAAACCGTGCCTGGTCATTTTCTTTCAGGATATGTTCGGCTTGGTTGATGAGGACTGTTGACCGTTCAAGACACTGGCGGCAATTAGCAACCTGCTGTGCCAACTTTCTCAGCTTCATTACCTTCAAGGAATGAGCCAAAGAAAAATGAGATGAAACATCCGGGGCTTAATTAAAAACGATAAAACAACACAAGGCGATTTGCTGCGGTAATTCTAAAAATAAGGCCTATTAATGTCCCCATACTAACCACTCATCTCCTCACCTTACCCTCTCCATCTGTCTTGCCAGCCCCTCTTCTCATCTCCAGCCCACTTACCCACACTGCATATACAGCCAGTTATATACTCTAGTTCATCGGCCTCCTCTTTTTTATTGGTAACATTAATTTTTCTGATTACAAAAGCAATGCATGCTCACCAGAGAATATTTCGAAAATAAGAAAGTGTAAAAAGAAACCCTAACACCCAGAGATCACCACTGTTTACATTTTATGGTCAATAGCTTTTTATATACATGTTTCATAAAAAGTACCTCCTTGTTCTTTATGAGTATCTACATTTCTGTGTATATATTTCTCTATGTATCTGTACACATACTTGTGTGTTCACAGACCTGGGGTCGCAGAAATTTCAATTCCTGTGTTAACTGGAACCACCCAGCATGGCACAAAGTACTGACTATCACTCCAAACTCTCAGAACTCCTCACATTGTATACACAGTATGAGCTTCTTATAATCACTACACTGACTGGCAGACCAATAAGCCCAAAACCATAGAGATGCAAGGGGGCTCACACCTGACCTTGACTGCACTTCTTCAATTCCTAAGCTAAAAACCTGGAAATCTTCTCTTTCCCCTTCATCTTTCATAGCTAATCAGTTGATGATTCTCATCATTTCCTTTCTAGTAGTGCCTGCTATGTTCTTCCCTTCCATTTGTGCTGGCCTTTCCCTGGTTTAGGTCTTCATCAACTCCTATCAAAAACCATTCCATTGGGCACTCAGTTGGTCAAGCATCTGACTTCCGCTTGTCATGATCTCTCGGTTCATGGGTTCCATCCCCGCATCGGGCTCTGTGCTGACAGCTCAGAGCCTGGAGCCTGCTTCAGATTCTGTGTCTCTCTCCCTCTCTGCCCCTCCCCCACACATGCTCTCCATCTCAAAAATAAATAAACATCTAAAAAAATATTTTAAAAATTCCATTAGGTGTGCTGTTAGATTTTGCACTTGCCCTTTTTCTAATTTCTTGAAATAGGCCTGGAGTGCAATGTACTTTCCTCTTAGGACTGCCTTTGCCGCATCCCATAGAGTTTGGATTGTTGTATTTTCATTTTCATTTGTTTCCATGTATTTTTAAATTTCTTCTCTAACTGCCTGATTGGCCCATTCGTTCTTTAGTAGGGTGTTCTTTAACCTCCATGTTTTCGGAAGTTTTCCAGACTTCTTCCTGTGATTGATTTCAAGTTTCATAGCATTGTGATCTGAAAGTGTACATGGTATGATCTCAATTCCAGCCCCTCTGGAAAACAGTGTGGAGGTTCCTCAAAAACTTAACACTAGAATTCCCCTATGACCCAGCAATAGTATTCCTAGGAATTTACCCAAGGGATACAGGAGTGCTGATGCATAGGGGCACATGGACCCCAATATTCATAGCAGCACTCTCAACAATAGCCAAAACATGGAAAGAGCCTAAGTGTCCATCAACGGACAAATGGATCAAGAAGATGGGGTTTATCTATACAATGGAATACTACATGGCAATGAGAAAGAATGAAATCTGGCCATGTGTAGCAACATGGATGAACCTTGAGGGTGTTATGCTGAGCGAAATAAGTCAGGCAGAGAAGGACAAATACCATATGTTTGTACGTATAGGAGGATTAGGAGGAACTTAATGGAGGACCATGGGGGAGAAGAAGGTGGAAAATAGTGGGGGAGAGGGAGGGAGGCAAATCATGAGAGACTCTTGAATGCCAAGAACAAACTGAGGGCTGTTGGGGGTGGGAGGGAGGGGAAGGGCGGTGATGGGCATGGAGGAGGGCACTTGTGGGGATGAGCACTGGGTGTTATGGGTGTTATATGGAAACCAAATTGACAATAAACTATTATAAATAAATAAATAAATAAATAAACTTTAAAAAGTCAATGTCATAAAATACAAAAGATAATGGCAGGGAAACTCAAACACATTGGAGGAAGTAAAAGTCGCAACAACCAAGTGTGGGATCCTGGACTGGATCCTGGATGAAAAGAGGACAAAAGGATAAAATGTGAATATGGACTACATATTAGATAATAATATGGGTGGTTCTTGATGTCCACAACTTACTATAAAATGGCTTGGCCTAATGACAAAAAAATTTTTTTGGTACATACATATTTCCTAAAGCTAATATTACATACATACTTCCTAAAGCTAATATTAGAAAGCTAATATTACTGCTCAATTTAGATGAAGGGAATAGAATTTCAATTTTTTTGTAGTTTTGTAAATCTTCAGAGCCAAGAAACATGGTTACTAAAAATACAAACTTAGGGGCGCCTCAGTGGCTCATTCTGACTCTTGATTTTGCTTCAGATCATAATCTCATGGTTCGTGGGGTTGAGCCCTGCATCAGGCTCTGTGTTGTCAGTGCGGAGCCTTCTCTGGATCCCCTGTTCCCCTCTCTCTACCTGGCCGCCACTCTCACTCTCTCTCTCAAAAAGAAACATTAAAAAATTTCAAAAAAAAAATTCCAGAAGCCTCTTAATTTGCTTCTCTGACTTCAGTATCATCCTGTTCTGATCTATCCTGCAAACCTCTGCCATACTGATCAGCCTTCTCCCTTCCTAAGAAATTGAAATGGTTTCCCAATGCCTTTTAGATTAAACCCAAAGATCTTATAATAACATGCATGGTCCTGCCATAATTCTGGCCCTCATTTCCACCATTACATTTTTTCTTTTTTCTTTTTGGGTTGACTTATAACATTCATTCAGTAAAGCACCCACCTCTGAAATGTACAACTCAATGATTTTTTTTTTGTATATTACAAACACTATGTGACCACCAACCTGGCCAAGATATAGAACATTTCCAACACCCCATAACTGCCATTATTTTTACTGGATTCATTGCACTAGGTTAAACATTGCTTCTTCTCTGCCTCCCTCCCTACAACCTCATTTCTTCTTACTTTTGTGATCCACATTCACCCTGGAATCATCAAGAGGAATCTGACATATGTAAAGTCAACTCTGCCTTGGCCTCACCGAAGTGGCTGTGCTTTACCTTTGTTTCTTTGATTTTGACAGCAATCATTTGCTTCCTCTGCTGGATGATCTCTACCAACTCGTCACATTCTTCCATAAGTTTTGCCTCATGCATAGCTGTATTCACCTGCCAAGAAAGTCCAGAATATTACACAGTGATTGCCGCCTTTGTCCCCTGCTGCCTCTCAAAGGTTCGGATTGACAGCTAAGCATGCACAACTTCTTCCATACCTCCCTCATAAGATCCAGTCCTAGAAGAAGGGTAGAGATGATGATATTAATGATGCAAGGGCATTGAAGCACCACAGATAGGAAGCTCTCCGACCTCTGGTAGATCATGATGGTTAATGGAAGGCTGGGCAGAAGGACAGATGAGATGGGGGCATGTTATTCCCACTGTGCAACTCCCTTTACCCCAGCATCCTGTTCTCCTGCTGCTCTTTTGAAAAGAGGGTAAGGAGATTTTAAGTATGTCAGGAAAAGAGGATCCCTCTCCACAGGCACAGTAATATTAAGATAACATCCCAAGAATCGACTTTCCACCATCCTAAAACAATGGCTTCAATTTTCCTTGTTTCCTTCTAATTCTTAAATATATGAATGAAGGGTGCCGGGGTGGCTCAGTCAGTTAAACATCTGACTTCAGCTCAGGATGTGATCTCACGGTTGGTGGGTTCGAGCCCCACGTCGGGCTCTGTGCTGACAGCTCAGAGCCAGGAGCCTGCTTCGGATTCTGTGTCTCCCTCTCTCTCTACCTTTCCCCTGGTCACGCTCTGTCTCTCTCTCCTTCAAAAATAAATAAACATTAAAAAGAAAAAATACCTCTCCTATTTTATTTTTTTAATTTTTTTTTTTTTTTTTTGAGAGAGAGATAGAGACACCATGAGCAGGGGAGGGTCAGAGAGAGAGAGGGAGACACACAGAATCTGAAGATAGGCTCCAGGCTCTGAGCTAGCTATCAGCACAGAGCCCGACGCGGGGCTCGAACCCATGAACCGTGAGGTCATGACCTGAGCTGAAGTCGGATGCTTAACTGACTGAGCCACCCAGGTGCCCCACCTCTCCTATTTTAGAATACTGGCCACATCAGAATATCTCCACTGCAAAGTCAGAGTGGGGTCGGAAAAAAAAAAAAAAAGCCACCGTTTTTCATTGTCTTTCCATATCCTGATTTCTCCTTCCTCCCATCTCTACTACTATTGACATTAGATGATAGGAAGTCCCCAGCAGGGCTGAGCTGAGAGAGGGCATCTCTGGGTTGTCTAAGTGGAAAGGCATGTCATTTAAGCACTTAATGTTCCAATGCTTTAGAGATACATTATTTCGTGTAATGCTTATAAGCACTTTATAATTAGGAGTCATTTCTATTCCCATGCCACAGATAGAGAAACTGAAGCTCGGACAACGTGAGCGGCTTCCAAGTAGGTGGTAAAACCAGAATTCAGATCGAGTTCTGCCAAGAGAAACCCCTGGGCTGGCTGGGTGGGCGGACGAGGCTCAGTTCCATTTGAGAGGCACACAGAGCAGTCACACAGGGAAGCACAATCATTCCAAGAGCCTACTCAAGGATCACTCCAGCGGAGCTCTAGAAAGCCGAGGAACAGACAACGGGTTACTTGAGAGTATCAAAACACCAGGGGCTGGGTATGCTTCATTAGCAAGGTAGGATTGCATTTCCAATCGCTAGTCCTCTTCACGGGATTCCTTTACCTACTCCAAACCCGGCAAAATGCCTGTCGCTGGACCCCGCTGCCGTCTCTCTCATCCTCTAAGGTCCCCACTGACCAGTTTTCAGTTGCTTACTTAACTGAAATAAAATACGCTGGCGGTATTTCAACCTTATTTTGTTTTATTTCCACTTTGCAGAGGGAATGCCATAATGAGAGCTTCCATGTATTGGGAATAAACAGTCCCACTCCGGCCATTGTAATTGTTTTTTTCTCAGACTCCTCGCCCTTTCCCTAAATTGGATCTGCGTTTCCAAGGCAGATAACGTCACCCTCGCAAGAAACTCCCACTCATGTGAAAATTGGAGATTCATCTAGTGCGCCCTGGATCTGTGTTTAGGGTATCTGGAGACTTTAGTTCTCATTTATAATTTCATTTTGAAGCCGCTGATGGTGTAGGACACAATTGTATGGTGCCTTTTTCCTTATAGTTTAGCCCTTGGGCCAACCGTTACGTAACACTCACTATGTGCTAAGCACTACCTCTATCAGTTTACTTTAACTTGATCTCTCAGTCATCAAAACAATCCTCTGAGGCAGGTACCAGCAGCCCCATTTTACAGATGGGAAAACTGAGAACAGAGAGACTCAGTGACTTGCTCAAGACCACACACCTAGTAAGTGGCAGAGATGGGATTTGGACCCAGGCATACTGACACTATAGTCCATACCTTTAAAGCCATCACACTAGACTGCCTCCCCAGGCTAATATAACAAAATTCCTGTCCAGTTTCTGACAACCATCACCTTTTGCTCCATCCATCTTTTAAAAAAAAAATTAATGTTTATTTATTTTTGAGAGATAGAGGAAGAGAGAGAAAGTGAGCAGGGAAGGGGTAGAGAGAGAGAGGGAGACACAGAATTTGAAGCAGGCTCCAGGCGAAGCTGTCAACATAGAGCCTGATGCGGGGCTCGAACCCACGAGCTTTGAGATCATGACCTGATCAGGAGTTGGATGCTTAACCAACTGAGCCACCCAGGTGCCCCCATCTTTATTCTCTCATCCCATTCTCTTTAGTCATTCCAGATCACTTGTTCCCCTAGGGTCCCATGCACCTCTATGTCCTATGCCTTTCCTCAAGATTTTGTTCACTTGGAAAGTCATTTCCCTATTAGTTTACTGAACAAACATCTACTGATGTTTCCAGATCTTGCTCCAAAATCATCACTTCTGTAACTTTTTCTCACCTGCTTGGACAAAATGCGTCCCCTATTTATACTACCATAGCACTACATATATAGTTCAATTATACCATTTACTACCTTATACAGTAGGAATTTGTTAGTCTGTCTTCCCCACTCAAACATGAGTTCTGGAGACCAGGGATGGTGTCTTATTTGACTTCATCTCTAACATAGTGACTGGCATACGGTAGGTGTCCAGTAAATATCTGTTGTATTGAATCGAATGGGGATAGGGAATAGCTCACTGCTTGCTAGACATGTCCGCTTGGTTACTCAAGTTACCCTGAATTCAGTACGTCTAAAAGCAAACTCATCCTCTCCCCTCTACATCTGGCTTCCACCCCTGATTTCTTTCCTTCCTCCCTCCCTCCTTCCTTCCTTCCTTCCTTCCTTTGTCTTCCTTCCTTCCTTCCTTCCTTCCTTCCTTCCTTCCTTCCTTCCTTCCTTCCTTCCTTCCTGCTAATACTATTATCTTTACTGAAGCTACTCAGGTTTGCTTACTTCTGACTTCTAATTCTCCCTCAGCCCCCACATAAATTCACAGCAGTCCCAAAGTCTTGCCCTTCCTTTTCTTTTCAAGCTCACTGAAATTTTTCTGGCAACACAATGAGGCTCTGAGCCAAGGAATCTATAAGTTAAAGTCCTTATCACCCTTTTGGACTGTTACTATAAAAGATTTATTAATTCTTTCCCCACCTTCAGGATCTTTCCTTTGCCAACCACCCTTGTGACCCATCCTATACATACCCTGAAATCAGGAAAAATCATCACCATCTTCATCATCAAACATATATGAAGCATCTTTTATGTGCATTATGAACATTATGTTCAGGCCCTTCTCTCAATAAACATACAATATTTAAGGTTTTTTCTTCCAAGTTGGGGAAGGGGTAGAGAGCGGGAGGCGGTCAGAGGATCTGAAGTGGGCTGTGCACTGAAGGGGCTTGAATGCACAAACTGTGAGATTGAGGCCATGAGCCAAAGTTGGACACTCAACTGACTGAGCCACCCAGGCAGCCCAATAAATTTGCAATCTGAATGGGGAAAAGCCACATGCATATAAAACAAACATGTCAAGGTAGAATACCAATGAGTGATGTAGAATATAATCTCTAGAAGTTGAAGGGAAAGATCACTCTCAGTGGGGGAAGTATAGAAGAGATGCCTGAATGCAGTGGGACTTGAGCCTTAAAGATGGATAGGACTTAGATTTTAAAGGTAAAAAGGAGAGAAATTTTGAGCCAAACTAACAAAATTGAACTTTATTCATTAGGCAATACGGTATCCTTGAAAAAATATTTTTTTGGGTAGGAGGGTAGGATGAAATAATGAATTTTAAAAATACATATATTTTGGGGGGCAGAGGGCACCTGGGTGGCTCAGTCAGTTAAGTGTCTGACTCTTGATTTCAGCTCAGGTCATGATCTCCTGATTTGTGGGATTGAGCCCCTCATCAGGCTCTTTACTGACAGTTCAGAGCCTGCTTGGGATTCTCTCTCCTCTCTCTGCCCCTCTCCTGCGTACACACACACACACACACACACACACACACACACACACTCACTCTCTCTCTCTCTCAAAGTAAATAAACTTTAAAGAAATTTTAAAAAATACATATTTTTTAATTGAAGTATAGTTGGCATGCAATGTTACATTAGTTTCAGGTGTACAGCATAGTGATTCAAGAACTCTATATGTTATGCTGTGCTCTCCATAAGTGTCGCTACCGTCTGTCACCATTCAACACTATTACAATACCATTGACTATATTCCCTATGCTGTACCTCTCATCCCCTGTGACTTATCCATTCCATAACTGGAAGCCTGTACCCCCCACTCCCCTTCACCCATTTTGCCTATACCTCCATCCCCTCCTCTGGCAACCATCAAGTTAACTTTTTCCTAAGAAAAGATGAACTGGGATTGATTTGATTGGGGGTAATGGTAAACCGGGGGGAGGCGATTTAGGAAATGATTTTGATGTGAACAGGGCCTAGCCAAAGAGGGTAACAGGAATCGAAAGGAAAGGTCAAATATGAGAAGCACTCCCTTGCTTGAAAAACTTAATTAGACAGCAAGCTCCTTGAGGAAAGTTTTCATGTTGCTTTGTTTCTCCTGCTGTAACAGGCGCAATGCTTTACACACAACATTTGCTGATTGACTTAGTAAAATGAAAAATCAGAAGAATGACAAACATTAGAAAATGTACTATGGC